GATTTGCCAATCTATTGGCACGACTAAGTTTAGAGCATGGCTCTGATACCATGTTAGACGAACACGACTCTCCACAATGGTATGATATTGTCCACTTTGAGCATAAGCTCTCATGGCTTTGCTTTGGGCTTCCCAAAAGGCCTCACACCAATGGAGTTAGTATTCCTCACTTATAAACCCATGATCATTCCCTAAATTAGCCGATGTGGGACTTTCATCATCCAACACCTCCCCTCGAACAAAGCACGCCTCCCCTTAATCGAGGCTCGACTCCTTTGGAGTCTTAGTCATTTTTGACTGCCTTCGTACCTTCGAGGAGGATTTGCCAATCTATTGGCACGACTAAGTTTAGAGCATGGCTCTGATACCATGTTAGATGAACACGACTCTCCACAATGGTATGATATTGTCCACTTTGAGTATAAGCTCTCATGGCTTTGATTTGGGCTTCCCAAAAGGCCTCATACCAATGAAGAGTGTATTCTTAGATTATAAACCCATGACCATTCCCTAAATTAACCGATGTGGGACTTTCATCATCCAACACCTCCCCTCGAACAAAGCACGCCTCCCCTTAATCGAGGNTCGACTCCTTTGGAGTCTTAGTCATTTTTGACTGCCTTCGTACCTTCGAGGAGGCTTGACTCCTTTTGGAGTCCTTTGTTCGACATTTAAGGATTTGCCAATCTATTGGCACGGCTAAGTTTAGGGCATGGCTCTGATACCATGTTAGACGAACACGACTCTCCACAATGGTATGATATTGTCCACTTTGAGCATAAGCTCTCATGGCTTTGATTTGGGCTTCCCAAAAGGCCTCATACCAATGAAGAGTGTATTCTTAGATTATAAACCCATGACCATTCCCTAAATTAACCGATGTGGGACTTTCATCATCCAACACCTCCCCTCGAACAAAGCACGCCTCCCCTTAATCGAGGCTTGACTCCACTTTGGAGTCTTAGTCATTTTTGACTGCCTTCGTCCCTTCAAGGAGGCTTGACTCCTTTTTGGAGTCCTTTGTTCGACATTTGAGGATTTGCCAATCTATTGGCACGGCTAAGTTTAGGGCATGGCTCTGATACCATGTTAGACGAACACGACTCTCCACAATGGTATGATATTGTCCACTTTGAGCATAAGCTCTCATGGCTTTGCTTTGGGCTTCCCAAAAGGCCTCACACCAATGGAGTTAGTATTCCTCACTTATAAACCCATGATCATTCCCTAAATTAGCCGATGTGGGACTTTCATCATCCAACACCTCCCCTCGAACAAAGCACGCCTCCTCTTAATCGAGGCTCGACTCCTCTAGAGTCTTAGTCATTTTTGACTGCCTTCGTACCTTCGAGGAGGATTTGCCAATCTATTGGCACGACTGAGTTTAGAGCATGGCTCTGATACCATGTTAGATGAGCACGACTCTCCACAATGGTATGATATTGTCTACTTTGAGCATAAGCTCTCATGGGTTTGCTTTGGGCTTCCCAAAAGGCCTCACACCAATGGAGTTAGTATTCCTCACTTATAAACCCATGATCATTCCCTAAATTAGCCGATGTGGGACTTTCATCATCCAACACGGCTAATTTAGGGAATGATCATGGGTTTATAAGTGAGAAATACTAACTCCATTAGTCTGAGGCCTTTTGGGGAAGCCCAAAGCAAAGCCACTCACACTCAAAGTGGACAATATCATACCATTATGGAGAGTCGTGTTCGTCTAACAAATATGAGATTGAGAATATTTGAGTTTGTAACCAATGTTAGTAATGTGTCGTGACTCGTAATCTTTGTTCAACTCCGTTCGTAAATTTTACTAATGTGTCGGTAAATTTGGAATGTTCTCTTATCTCAACTATAATTCTTGTCATGGACTTCTTGTTTTTGTGATCACCAAAACGACAAAAAGCATCCTCCGAACTTCCCATAAATTTGTTAGTAATGTGTTTGCTTATTTTCGTGCATTGAATTGGATATAGTGATTTTTGGTGCTGTCTAAATATGGAAGATGAAAAATATTAATCGATTACTTTTAACACAGATGAAGGTCATTGTAACGACTCTAAATTTTTACATACTCAGAGTCGCTATAACGTCTCATGCTCATCTCTAATGTACAATATAACTCTAATGCTCATCTTTATTAGCGAAAAAATTTAAACCTTCAAAATATGTTAAAACACTAGAAAACACTGCCGAACTTACGTGTTTCAAACATCATGCTGGAGTTCAAAATAAGATAAAAACAATTACAAATTAATTAATTTAAATAAATGAAATGTAAAACACCATATTCTAACCAAGACTATGAATTTTAAATATGCAACTATCCTATGCACGCGCCACAGTCGCTGATCACGATGTCGTTGTTAACCGTACATGGGCGCATTGCCTTTACTTGAAAAACAATATGGCACATGGACTGAGTATTTTGAAGAAATATTCAGTAAGTGACCCCACTAGGGGCCATGCTAATGCAAACATATGAAATCATGAATTAGGGACCTATCTCTAATCATCTTAAGGGTGACCTTCAGTCTCAGACAAATTGGATGTGTAGTACTTCCCTACACAAGACTCACACGTGCGAGTGTGAATCCCCAGGGCGCTCGCACACCCCCTGGACCCTCTGGTCAAGCTAATTTGTAGCGACATCCGAAAATCAGCGGAACCCCATAGTGTCATGCGCCTCATGAACACCCTCATATGTGCATTCGCGCTCATCATACGGTGCATGTCAGCACTCATCATTTCTAGGCAAAGTAGCCCTATGCTTATGAACATACAATATGCATGAGGTCCCTCTAAGTCCAATTATACATCTCTTCTGTCACAACCCTCTAGTCTCATCTCTTGGTTACACTATGTAACACGTGCTCGTTGATATTTACATTAATATCATTTTCATACTCTTAGGGTTGTGTCCTATTTCGATCTAACGACATGATTCAATATGGCAAACAACATCGTAAGGCAGGTTCAACATGGAAAACATCATCATGTTAATAACTTCGTCATGCATACATCATCCTCATCATAGAAGCCATTAAGTGCATCAAATATAACATGTACGTCATGCATCAAAATATAAATAACGTACAATTAATATACAACACAACACAACACAGCGTCATACTCATACATCATCATAAACCAAACAATATTTAGCCTATCCTATAGTGAGGCCACTTACTTAGTTGGTCTTGGTTGAAGTATTCCCTAATTAGCTAAACGTAAGCTCCCGTTCTGTGAGAGCTGCTTCCTACGTTGCCGGGGTTTGTTTCCTATCACATCATTCGCCATCTTTTGTTAGTATTTCACAATTAATTTACCAATAATTCAATAAATGTGAAATACGGCTCTAAAACTGCATCATATACTTTAATCGGGGCCGAAAATAGGTTCGGGAGGGTCGAAACAATGAAAACCGGGCCGAAAACAGGGGAGCCGAGCCGAACAGCCGCTGGGAGCAGCCAAGCCGAGTTGAGGGACCGCCTGCGCCGCTGTGTGCCACGTGGCAAAAGTAGAGCAGGCCACGTCGTGTAGTGAGTGTCGGGTTGAGGCACGGGTCGCACTCTGGTTCGGGTCGGCTGCTAAGGCTACTGGGCAGGGTTAGTTGTTGGGCCTCAGTTTACTGGATTGGGCCACAAGCGTTTGGGTTGCAGGCCGGTTCAATTGGACCGTGGGTCTAGTCTCGGAGCGGTTCAGCTGAACCGTGGCTTTTGGGCTGGATTGAGGTCTGGGCCACTGTAGTTGGGCTAGGCTGAAGGCAGAGGCCGAGGAGAAAGAAGTCTGGCTGCTCTATCGGGTTTTGGGTTCAGGTTGACTCGGATCCATGGATCTCGTCTTCCTTACCGGACTTCGGCTGATTTTTCGGTGCTCCTCTTTCTTCCTTTTCCTCTCTGTTTGTCGTCCTGATTTCTTTCCTCGAAGTTTAGTGGCCTAAAAGTTCCTAAAACCACATAGCTAAGAATGTTTAGGAAAACCCAATTTTCCGACCTCGGTTACCGTCGGTAACCGCACTTACAAAAAGGCACAAAATGTAACCAGAGTTACTAAGCTATCATTAGGGATCCTTCTTGTGGTGGTAACTGAGCGTTTGGCGTCGGTTTTAGGGTGGTTTGGGGCTCGTTGGAGGGATTGGAAACTCGCCGACGTTATCCGAAATCTCTCTCTCTCTCTTTCGTATTTCGTTCTTTTCTTTGTTTGTAGGTATTTTGATCCATTCTGGGAGTCGTGGGCTGAAGGCTGAGCAAGGTGTGGCTATCGTTTGGCGTGGGGTTCGTGAAACTCGGCGGTCGCCGAAAAATTGGAGTTTTCCGGCATTGAGTTTTTTTCTTTTTCATTTTATTTTTCTTTTTTCTCTTTTTCTATTTCTTCTTTTTCTTTTTTTTCCAAGTCGTTACATTATCTACCCGTAAAAAGAACTTTTGTTCTTGAAAGTCTCAAACTCTTATACTAACTCGGGGTATTTTTCTCTTTTTTCGTCCTCACGCTCCCACGTGGCTTTCTCATTGTGGTGATTCCGCCACAATACCTTAACGAATGCAATGCTCCTGTTGCGTTAGGTTTTTACTTCTCTAGCTAAGATTTTTACTGATTTTTCCTCGTAGCTCAAATCTTCATTGAGTTGGAGTGGTTTGTAGTCTATTACGTGGATAGGGTCCGTAATGTACTTCCTCAACATCGACACGTGAAATACATCATGTACTCCTGAGAGGGCTGGAGGTAGGGCTAACTTATACGCTACTGGACCAACTCGCTCTAGGATCTCGAATGGTCCAATGAATTTAGGACTTAACTTGTCCTTACGTCTGAATCTCAACACACCTTTCATAGGTGTCACCTTGAGGAATACTGGGTCCCCTTTCTCAAACTCCAGGCTTTTATGCCTTACATTGGCGTAGATTTTCTGTCCACTTTGAGCGGTTCGCATCCTCGCTCGAATTTTCTGGACAGCCTTATTGGTGAGTCGAATTAGCTCGGGTCCTATTAACTCTCTCTCTCCTACGTCCCAACATAGTGGGGACCTACACTGTTTCCCGTACAGGGCCTCAAACGGTGTCATTCTAATAGTTGCTTGGAAGCTGTTATTATTCGAGAATTCCATTCGGTGGAGTTGGAATCCCAACTTCACTTAAAATCTAGTATGCAAGCGCGTAACATGTCCTCTAGAATTTGGTTTAAACGCTCTGTTTGTCCATCTGTTTGGGGGTGAAAGGCGGTACTAAAATTGAGGCGGGTACCCAGTGCCTTTTGAAGTCCACGCCAAAATGCTGATGTAAAGCGTGGATCCCGATCCGACACTATAGACACTGGGACTCCATGTAGTCTTACTATCTCTTTCACATATAGTTGTGCCCAATTGTAACTGTATATGTAGCTTTCCCAGGTAGAAAGTGTGCCGACTTGGTCAACCTAACGACAACTACCCAGATCACTGTATAGCCTTTGGGCGTTTTGGGTAATCCTACTATGAAGTCCATCGCTATGTTTTCCCACTTCCACTCTGGTATGCTTAGGGGCTGCAACAATCTCGCCGCCTTTTGTCTTGGAGCTTTCACTTGTTGACAAACTAAGCACTTGCTCACAAACTCGGTCACATCCCTCTTCATGCTCTTCCACCAAAAGTGTTGTTTTAAATCTTGGTACATCATAGTACCTCCTGGATGCATGGAAAATGGCGAGTTGTGAGCTTCCGTCAGTATCTCTTTCCTTAAATCTTCTATTGCTGGAACACATAAGTGTTCCTGATACAATAGTCCTTCATCTGAGGACTTCGAGAATCCATCTACTAGACTTTCGTCTAGCTGTCCTAGGACTTTCTATAGGTTAGGATCCTCTCGTTGGGAGGTAATAATTCTCTGCTTAAACGTAGGTTGTACCATGAGTCGGGCCAGTTGTGCTATGACTCCCTCGGTCGCTACTGCTATGTTGGCTCACTCGAATTCTCTTTGTACCCTTACTTCCCTCGTAATGAGGGCCAACAAGTGGACCGTCTCTTCCTACTCAAGGCATCTGGGACCACGTTTGCTTTTCGAAGGTGGTACTGGATATCTACATCATAATCCTTCATCAATTCTAACCACCTTTAACTCTTTCTAGGTGAAGAAGTATTTTAAACTTTTGTGGTCGGTAAAAATTTGAGTTTTCTCTCCATACAAGTAATGTTGCCAGATTTTCAGTGCGAACATTACCGCGACCATAGGTCGTGGGTAGGGTAGTTCTTTTCGTATTTCTTAAGTTGACGAGATGCGTATGCGACAACCTTGTCGTGTTGCATTAATACACATCTCAGTCCTTTCATGGAGGCATCACTATAAATCACATACCCTTCTGAGCTCTCAGATACTGTGAGTACCGGGGCGGTTACCAATCTCTCTTTTAGGTTCTAGAAGCTTGCCTCACAAGCATCATCTCATCTAAATGGTACCTTTTTTTTGTTAGCTTTGTTAAAGGCGAGGATATTCTAGTGAAGTCCTGCACAAACCTTCGATAGTATCCCGCCAATCCTAGGAAACTCCTTACTTTCGTTACCATAGTTGGGCGTTCCCACTTTGTGACCGCTTCGACCTTAGTGGGATCCACAGATATTCCGTCCTTTGACACCACATGTCCTAGGAAAGAGACTTGTCGTAACCAAAATTCGCATTTGGAGAACTTGGCGTACAACTTATGCTCTCTTAGGGTGGTTAGGACTTTTCGGAGGTGTTCCTCGTGTTCTAGGTTTGTTTTTTAGTATATTAGGATGTCGTCAATGAAGATAATCACGAACATGTCTAGACATTCCTTGAATACCCGATTCATTAACTCCATAAACACAACTAGGGCATTGGTGAGGCCAAATGACATCACTACGAACTCGTAATGACCGTACCTTGTCCTAAACGATGTTTTTGGTTCGTCTTTTTCATTAATCCTAATTTGGTTGTAACCGGACCGAAGATCTATCTTGGAAAATACAGTTCCCTCTCTGAGTTGATCAAACAAGTCTTCTATTCTAGGCAGAGGATATTTGTTTTTTATGGTTCTCTTATTTAGCTCTCTGTAATCGATGCACAGACGCATCGATCCATCTTTCTTCTTAACAAACAACACTGGCGCACCCCAGGGGGACAGACTAGGTCGAATGAACCTTTATCTAGTAAGTCTTGCAATTGCGCCTTGAGTTCCTTCAACTCTACTGGCGCCATGCGATAGGGTATTTTGGAAATAGGCCCAGTTCCCGACTCGAGTTCGATGAAGAAGTCGACCGCTCGGGAAGGGGGTATTCCAGGTAAGTCGTCCGAAAATACATCCGGGAAATCGTTTACTATTGGCACGTTTTCTAGGGTCTTTTCTTTTCTTCTTACGTCTACAGCACATGCTAATATAGTCCATCCGTCTGGTTGGACTAACCTCTATGCTTTCATCATCGAGACTACCTTGGGGGTAATCCCGATATTTGTGCCTTTAAATTTAAAAGGTAGGTCCTGTTGGTGGTGAAAATTTTACTTCCTTTTTACGACAGTCTATACTAGCTCGATTTTCGGCTAGCCAATCCATGCCTAGTATGACGTCAAAATCCGTCATGTTTACTACCATCAGGTCAACGCTTAAAGTTTGGTTCCCTATGATTACTTGGCCATCCTTTACTCTATCCCTAGATACTAAGTCTACCCCCGCATGGGTGCTTACAAACATTTCATGCAATAAGGGTTCTAATTCAAACCTCGATTATATAACAAAAGGCATAGAAATAAAGGAATGTGTGGAACCAGAATCAAATAAGGTAAATGCGAAATGACCTAAAATGGATAGTGTACCTGTCACCAGTCGGACCTCCCAGTGTCCTTGCTCATTGATGCATAGGCCCTAGCTCGAGCTCGGGTGGTGCTGGTTATTCTATTCGCTCTACTACTCTGGGCGGGTTTGCTTGTGCTTCAGCGTTTGCAACCGTGCAGTTCACATCAATGTGCCCCTCTTGACCACATCTATAACACACTCGTCTGCCAGCCATGCACCTCCCACCATGTAGTCTTCCACAGATAGTGCACCCTTCCTCTCTCCTCCCTCGGGCCCCATCTTGGTTCCTGGGGTTTCTGTCAGTATGTCGAGGAGGATGTCGCTCATTCCATCTAAGAGCGGGTCTGTTATTGGAACGGTGCCTACGTGCTGGTGGCGGACGGTCAAAGCCTCCTGATTCATGTGGGTGCTTCTGCCCAATTACTACCGGCTCCTCACGTCGTTTCTCATCCTTTGGTTTCTCTAAAGCCTGGGCAGTTCTCAAGGCTTCCTCATAGGTCTTTGGGTTGAACGCTTCCAGCATGCGGCGGATTCTTGGTTCAAGACCAGTACAAAGTTCTCTGTCATCTTTTCCTCGGTGTCCACCATGGACGGTGCAAATCTCTTGAGTCTCTTAAACTCTCGGTTGTATTTCTCCACTTTAGTCCGCCCTATACCAGGTGGGCAAACTTCTGCTATCTTTTAAGTCGCTCTGACTTAGGATAATATTCTTTAAGGAATGCCTCCTTAAATCGTTCCCAGGTCATAGGTCCCCCTCTCGGGATAAGAAGGGTTTTGTTATCTCTCCACCATCTCTCTACGTCTGTTTGTAGGACAAATGTTGCGCCGGCAATCTTTTGGTTCTCTAGGCACTCCATAGTCTCAAAGGTAGTTTCTACCGCTCCAATCCACATTTAGGCTTCTATGGGGTCTAAAACCAATGAATGGTTGAGGGTAGAATGTAGAAGCTTAAAAAAAATGGTTCATGAATTAAAGCGTGATAAAACATATCTTTAATTTTTTCAAAATCTGACTTAATTGAAAGAACTACATAGGTGTTCATGGGGAGTTAGTTAATTATAATAAATATATTACTAATGGTTTAATTTATTTTATTTTATGAAAATTTGAGGTAATTATTAAAATTAGATAAATAAAGTAAAAAAAAAAAATCTTAAATATTATTAATAATAAAATTTAAAAATAAATTATTTTAATAATTTGATATAATAAAAATAAAATAACTCAACGGTCTAAAATTAAATAATATAATATAAATATTGAAAATCAAACTCATTTTATCATCCCATATTTTATTTTTAACTAAAGTATTTTATCTTATTTTCAAATGGACATGTTTAAAATTAATTTTAAAATTAAATACAATTTAAGATTAAATTTAAAAATTGTTATATAATACAAATGTTATTTAATTTTTATTAAAAATGTGTTAGCCTCGAAACAAAATTAATTGTTAATAAAATATTAAATTAATATATGGAGGATGAGAAGGCAATTCTTTCTATTTGTAATAAAAATAAATAAAAAAAAATGATTAAAATTTTTATTCTAAAACATGGTTGGTATAAAAAAAATCGATTATAATAAATTAATGATAATTTATTTAATTATTTAATTAATTTCTATTTTTTTCCAAATTTAATTAGACGTAAATGAAATAATGATAATTATTAAAACTGTATAAATAAACGTCTTAATATACTTATTAATGAAAAATAAATTATTTAATTATTTTAATAATTTGATATAATAAAAATAAAATAACTAACCATCATTAATTATTTAAAATTAAATAATATAATAAATATTTTAACAAAAATAAAAACAAATTTTATTTGATAGTGAATACTTATTTATTTTACTGACTTTTCAGTAGATTTTTAAAAATTTTATAATTTTAATTTAGTGTAAAATATAATATTAAGTTATTTTATTAGACAAGAATATTTAAATTTGTAATTAACGTCAGTCAGGTCGAACAAAAACAAAATACTTTTTCTTGGTAGGTGTGATCGCTAGTAATCGTCGGTCAGCCATACGGCGTGACAGTAACCTTTGTTTAGCTTCCATTATAAATATTTTTGTAAATATCTAAGACGTCTTTCATCTTAACTATCAATTATTGTAATGGATTTCTTTCTCTTTGTGGTCACCGAGAGGATAACAAGTTGTCTTAACCCGAATACTATTATCATATTAGTACAACTGAATACTTCGAATTCCTCGCAACCAAATCGAAAGAAAATTGTCTCTTGTCTCTATTATTTGGTAATAAGAAACACCATTAGAAAATTTATGGATGGAATCAAATATGCAGTATTTACAGACAAAAGTACTCGGTTATTGGGGAAAAATCAATATACTTCTAATGTCGAATCGGGATCAGCTAGGACAGAAATAAAGCATTGGGTCGAACTCTTCTTTGGAGTCAAGGTAATAGCTATGAATAGTCATCGACTCCCGGGAAAGAGTAGTAACTGATCCTTTTGAAAAGAGATAAGAGCTGGTGAATCAGAAAAATGAATTAGGAATGTAATATACCACAGAGATTTTTATTTTTGATCAAGTCTGAATTGACGGCTAGTATTGGCTAAATATACTGTTGAATGTGACCTCGATAATATGTTGAAACAAGTATAAAAAA